AGACTATAGCTCATATAACCCCCACATATACCATAACATAACAACCAGCAGGCCCCAGGCCCATCAGAGTGCCAGCTCCTCAACAAGATAGCCAGTGAGGAAGAGAAAGCCCGCTTCGCCACCTCGTTGCAGGTTGGATGGGACTGAAATCATTGGGCAACTCTTAGGGTTTAGGGGCTTAGGCTTTTACTCCATACCATGACCTAGAGTGGTGCTGATGCCTAGAGACGCTGACAACTGTAAGAGACATGGCATGACCAAGAGCCTTTGCCTCAGAATCGGCGAGCCCTAAATCTGTGGCTCGGGGACGATTAGCAGGTGTCGAACAAGGATCCTGGCATACTTGGCAAGAAAAAGGGACTTCCTCATTCAGACATAGCCAGCTTGTTTACACAAGCTGGCCATGGGGGTTCAAGGAGAACAGTTCTGATTACGGAGCACATTGGTGGTGGTTAGCTGCGTCAGACTAATTCTGTAATAAAGATAAACATGCTCGCTTCCTCAACTTCATGTGCCATGTAGTACATCCCGCCCTGAACCCATTGTAAGCCTAAGTTCGAAGTCTTGACCGTAACACACTCAAGATCTCATACTTGCATCTGTGCCCCCTTGAGGCCAGCCAATGTCACCCCCTAAAAGGGGACAAAGATCTGTGCATCTGAGTCCTCCAACAATTGGACAAAGGCTACCCGCTGCACAGGTAAGGCACCCTTTGTAGCGCAAATGATGAGCCCAAAGAAGAGGGCGAGCCCGATCCAGCCAGAGCTAATATAGATGGCGCCTCCTGGGATGAGTCATGGATTCCCTCGCCATCGGTTTCGGGTTTATAGGGCTCATCCAGCACGTTGGTAGGGATTTTTTAAGGACGTTTAGAGCAAGTTAAGGGGGAACCTGAGGTGGGGCTAATAATTAAGTCATCTGTTTGGGAGCCCATCAACCAAGGATGTGTTTAGCCAACCCAAGCCAGTAGGGCACTAAACCTTGAGCCCTGACGCCTGAGACGCGAAATCCTGAGCCTTGCACAAGCCGCAAACCCTGAGCCCCTAGAAGCCAAGTCCTATATTCCCTTCTAAGTAGATAGACTCCATATATCCCATATTCTATCTACTTAAGGGGGGAGTATAGGGACTAAGTTCTCATAAGCGCTAAATCCAACGTCCTAAGCCAGTAGTAGTAATGTCCCCGGGATCAAGTGACCCAGGGCAAAAGGGCCAGCACAGGGTCTCTGGGAAAATATCGGGCAGACTCATAGTAACCGCTCAAAGGGAATTGAATAAACAGGGGGCCCCGGATTCTTAAGGGGTCTCCACTCGTTGTGGCTCCTGGGAATGCACCTGAATAGCAGGATGCTTCAAGACCTGATGCGAAGCATGCTTCTTTTACATTCATACACGCACTGGGAAAGATGGCGCAGAGTACATCAAGCTACGCTTACTCTTGAGCATGTCATCATTCACATGCAATACTGTTGGCTTAGCTTGCAAATGTATGGCATGTATGACTAACAGTACGGACGGCCGAAAACAAATTTGACTGCTCCAACAGCACATCCATCAACAGTTATTCTTGACCTCATATTATGCCTCCCAGTGGTGCGAAGTATGAATATGTGAGAGTCTGGGGAGGTTTCCTCCAACCTCCAACATTCAAAAGGCTTCGGTGTTGTGGCCGGGGTAGGCACCTTTCAATTCTGGCTATTTGACATATCAAATTCCCAGGCTTTTGCCAACATGAACTATAGTTCAAGCTCCTAGTATCCCCCTTAATAAGTCCTATAATACTCCCCTAGATAATGCTCTATATAACTATATAACCCACTTAGGATTTTAGACTATAGCTCACATGACCCTTGATATAAACTGCTTGCATGATCACTAGACCCTAAACCCTAAAACCCTAAACCCCTAAACTCTAAACCCTAACACCCTAGCCCCCACATCCTAAACCCCTAAACCCCAAGCCCTGAATCCTTAAACCCCTAAAACCAGGAAGCCCTGCCTACGCTTGCCAAACAACTTGGCGGGCTCTGCTGCTGGATGCACAACCCTCATGGCAAGGCTCCCACTACACCCCATAGAGATTAGGGTCTAGGGTTTTGGGATTAGGGTTTAGGATTTAGGGTTTAGGATTTAGGGATTAAGGCTTAGGGATTTGGGTTAAGGGTTTAGAGATTAGGTTTAAGGTTTAGGGATTAGGGTTTAGCGAGAAGGGTTTCGGGGCTAGGGTTTAGGGATTGTATAGGGTATATAGTCAGAACGGAAAAGAACATGGAAACTACGATTTAGGGTTTAGGGTTTAAGGTCTGGGGCTTATCTGGGTTGCTGTTAAGTATGTTCATTTAAGTTACCATTATATGGATATATGGTGAATAACAAGGTTTTTCTGTCATAGTAAGTTAACTCAAGTTCCTTAACAGCGGAACCATTAAACCCTGAACCCCTAATCCCTAAACCCTGAACCCTAAACCCCAAAGCCTAAACCCTAAAACCCTAAACCCTAACTCACCCACTCTTGTAACTTGGAAGCCACCCAGCCTGGCTCCCAGCCAAGTCACTCACAGTTTGCCCGCAAGACATAAAGTGAGCCCCGCATAGCTGATCAACTACCTGGGACTTGCTCCCAGAAGGTTTACGGTTTAGGATTTAGGGTTTTGAATTTAGGGTTTAGGATTTAGGGTTTATAAGGTTTAGGGCTTAGGGTTGAGGGCTTATTGTTTGGGTGAGTTGCTGAAAAATATCAAGTTCTCCATCGCGCATTGTAGAGATTCGCCAAACATGGAAAGCGAACATGCTGCATAAAGTCTGCATGCCCGAAAATGCAGGCTAAGCGCAAAGAGGCCTGCCGGCTAAGAATACTGAATATTATTATTCGAGAACAAGTTCTGTGTCCCCAAGCTGGGCAAGGTCTCTTAGGTCTTTGTCTCAGATCTCTTCAGGTCGCAGCTGAGCACATCATGTGCATGTGCTGCCTGCATTGAAATTGGCTAGGCCGTGTCGTGGAGTGCGCGCCGCCCAAATCCGGTGCATCCGTCAACCAGGTCCACAAAAATCAGAATCCTGGCTTCATACTTGATTACCCACCATGGAACCCCACACACTCTGGTAAGACCTGCAGTTACAGTCATCAACAACCATGGTCAGGCACACATGTTGAATATCTTCTTAGGGTTGGATCCTCATCAACAGGTTTTCTGACCAGGCCACAGAAATCTACACACTCCAAGCCCTCAAGCCCCTAAACCCCGAAACCCTGAACCCGGAAACCCTAAACCCCTAAACCATAAACCCTTGCACACAGGAGGCCCAAACCGAAGATGGGGCCTCCCCCCTCATGATTTCCCCAGACCTCAGGGAGGATCTCGAATTGGGTATCCTGTACTGACCCCTAGCAGAGATCCGTATATGCTACATGTAAAAATTTCTACGTAATTCAATAGACATGAACTCCTTATTAGGGACTATAGTAATCTACAAGAGGGACCCCTACATCCACTATAATAGCTCATGTACGTGCTAGGTCCGCCAGGGCGTCACACTCGCAACCCTTACATGCACTACCTACCATTGCCCCAAAACCCCCACTCCAATGACATATATAGCCTTTGCGCCGTCGCGAATTCAAGGTCGAGTTGCTAGGCCAGCAAGGACGACGGCACCAAACCTGAACAGAACTCGCCCTAAACCCAACAGTGCATAGTGTCCTTACCTGGACCTCAAAAGTAAGTAAAACAAAAGCCCTAAACACCTAAAAATAACCCAAAAGGCCCTTGTTCTACTACAAACTTCAGGGGTTCAGGTACTACCGTTTTACTATTTTCAGTAGCGTGCATGTATACATGCTCGATTCGCACTATCATCACTATTATCCTTGGGAGATGGACACAGTCAAGACACAGAAGCCACATGCCATAGCCTGCGATGCTGACTTTCTCAGCCTGTATAACCTTAGGCGTCCCAAATCTAGGAAATTTGCCAAGGGAAAGCTGTTGGTTTATACCTTCAACCCTAAATCCTTAATTTCTGGAAGTTAGGGTTCCGCTTTGGGAACCCGTAGGTACTTGGATCTATATTGGGGCGCCCCTATTTACGGGAACCGTTGGTTCATTTGTGCAACTCCAAAAAAGTGGCAAGCCATCCAGTTGAAAGGGTCCATGTAGACAGGTAGTATATATTTGGGCCCCAAAGTAGGTCCTGAACCCTAAACCCATATGTACATGAGAAATCCTTTGGGCCCACAAAAAACCCGCACTTTTGGGCTGCACAGCTGTGTGACAGAGCTTGTTGCCGAAGCTGCCGAGGAGTTAGTCCTGCCGGCTTGGCGCTTCGGGCTTGGGGCTTTGGGGTTTCGGGGGTCAGGGGTTTACGGGTTTAGGGTTGCACACTGCGTCCAAAAAGGACTTCAGCTTTTCCACAACGACCAAATGTACCTGGCGTCTCCAGTTGTGAGGCTGCAACACCAAATTTTGAACCTGGTGCCCAAACCATGACACTCAATAGCGTCATATGGAAGTTATAGGGGCATTATGAATGGAGGTTATACAGGGAGTTCTATGGGACGTTATACTTATTCTTTGCGGTTATGTAGCGAGTGGCACAGAAGCTATATACAGAGTTATACAGAGGGGTGGCCATTAAACCTCCCATCGGAGTCCCGTTCACGAACTCCACGGGTATCGCGTCACTGTCCTCCTCAGAAGGGGAACACTACGAATCTAAACCCTATATCCTACATTACAAAGGAAACAAATGGAAAAAACAACACATATGACACTTGGAATGGCGCAGTGTATGGTGGAAGGGCGAAAAACACGGCAGATAGCCAATCCCAACTTTAGGCAACTCAGCTTTTGAATCCTATGCTCCCTTCAAAACACTCAAAAACACAGGCAGATGAGCTTAGAATCCGATGCTCCCCTCTAAAACATCGAAACATAGCATACTTGCCCAAATGTGGCCCAAAATGTACCCCCCACTCGAGGGATCCTATCCATTCCTATCCCCAAGTACATAGCATATACTGTTGGCGCCAAGGGTTCCCATACACCTATAAAATTTGGGGCCCAAGTAGATACTATATACCCACATGGACCTTTTGGGGTTTTCAAGAACTAGAAGAACGAAGCCCAATTGCCGGAATCTAACTCTGGGCAAGACTCTGAAGCCCAGCCGAGGAATGGCGGCGCAAAGGCCAGCACCAAGGCTATCCTAAAAATCATGGCCATGGAGACCCCTGCCGAGGATCCTATAGGGATCACTTTCAGCAACTCCAATATTGGGGTTCCCAAGAATTTGGTGTGCCTTCCTAAAAATCATGGCCTGCTTCGAACAAGTTCCGAGTCTACGTGCAACTTCTCAAGCTACAGACGATAAACGAAGTGAAGGGGTAGGCTCGAGTTCGCTTCCTGCGACCTTTTGCATGCCTTCAACTATTTTAGGGTTTGGGGTTTAGTGCTGTACCAACAAGCGAACGCTTCAAGATGAGGACGCTCGGTATAATCGAACACCCTTGGGGACACAAGCTACAAGGCCTTCCAACTGTTCAAGGTTGGAGGCGGATTGCTTATCCTGAGCTGGCTTTGGGTTGGTATCTCACGGGTGCAGGCCGCACAGCTAGAGATACTGTTGCGGCGTGACTGCTTTTACGATGACGCGCGCTGATACTGGGATCTCTGCCAGCCCTTACGATACCAACCTCCTGAAACGTCCATGGTACAAAGCAGTAAAAGGTACTTGCTGTTGTTGTGAAGGAATTACAGATCAGCAGTAGTTCGATGATTTCCTTGCT